AAAAAAAAAAAAAACAAAAAATCACACACAACCGGTTTCTGTTTATATTCAAAAGGGTGGGGTAGATTTCATTCCCCCAGGACGTTGGTTCAAAAAAGGTTCCCAGATTGGGCCTTTTAAAAACCTTTTTGTTTTTTAAATTGCACGGAGATTAAAAATTTTTCTTGGTTAAGGGGTTAGCGCGGTGGATGTTATTAAAAAACACACTTCCAACCCCCACGGGGGTTAGGTCGTCATTGTTAAGTTGTTCAGCGTGTTTGGAAAAAGAAAAAAAAAATACACTTGGGGGGGGAGGCACTCAGGGGGGCCCTTTTTCCTCCTCCTCCTCCTCCTCCTCTTTTTCTTTTTCCTCGGAAGAGGTTTTTTCTTGGGTTTCCTCCTGCCCCTCCATTTTGGAAGGAGATCGGTTTTTTCCTTTTCCCCTTTCCTTCCGCTTTATCCTTTTTTCATCGTGGGGGGGGGTCATTTCCACAATAGGGGGCCCGGGCGTGCCCGGCTTGCCCCTGTAGGACTGTTTTTGTATGGGTCCACCGCCCCCCCGGGGGGGGGGGGGGTACTCATTTTTGCATGCCTCAGTTGTTAGACCATTGACCTGGGAGGGTGTGTGTGTGCATGCCGTAGTCGTTACACCATTGACCTCGCATCGATCCAAAGCCGGGACGGCGGGGGATAATCATGTTTTGCACGCCTTAGGTGTTAGGACCACTGACCCTGGAGGGGAGGGCGAGCTACTCTCATGATTTGCATGGTTCAGCTGTAGTAGACCATTGACCACCCGTCCTCGAGAGGACGGAGCATTGTTCCCACACGACCGATCACCGATGGCCAGTCGTTTACCAAACGTCGCTCAAACACCTTTTCCCTGACCGCGTGCCTAAAGCCGGCTGGTCGCCGGCATCCTCCCGGCACAGGCATGTAAACGCCAGCCCAGCAACAACCGCAACACACAATGCTCGGTCGGTTGCGATCATCAAAACACGGTGGTAGCGGCGATGTCACACAGCGATGTCACACAGCGATGTCACACAACACGCTTGGCACAAAAAAAAAGCGATACTAGGCGAAAACAGGGTCATGAGGATAGTACACCACACAAGAGCGTCTCAATATTGACACCTCCAGATGTGAGCAAGCAATCCCTGACATCGCAACAAATAGACGCCGCACATAAGAGAAACCCAGGGATGGAATCGGAGCGTCCCCCCGTCGATGATGTTGCCCTACAGCCCTGGATCTCCTTCCCGACGTTCTATTATTAACCTACGAAATAGAGAGGGGAGGGTTTCGTATCCCTATCCCTATCCCCGCTGCACCCCCCGACTAAAACCAAGTGTAATATCCTCGAGAAGACCACTGCAAAATCTAAAGGGTGGCGAAAGCCACAACACAGTGGTGGTCACGGAAAAATGCCGGTTGCCCTGCAATGCCGGTGAAATCGCATGACACAAATGGAACATTAATATTCAAGTTTGTTTCATACTCTGAATAATGTCGGTTCCCGATATCGCATGACACAAATGGAATATCAATATTCAAGTTTGTTTCATACTCTGAATAATGCCGGTTCCCGCTATCATTCCGGTTCAAAGGAGCTGACACCTATTGTACGGCAGTATACGGAAAACACTACGGTACATCCATCCACCCCCCCTCCCTCCCTCCTTCTATCTCACATCGGTGCTCGGGGTGAAGGTGGGTGGAGGCTTGCTCGCTCTCCGGCCGGCTCGGCCGACGGGGGTGGGCACCCAGCCGAACGGCGTCACCATCTCCGTGCTCACGTCCTCGTCGTACCTGTACGGAACAAAAAACAAAAAAAATAATATTGAGTTGTCGGGCGACGCGGCCGATATGGCAATTTTATTTACCGTTATCCGGGACTAGAAGATTCTACCACGATATCTGGATAGAGATGGTATTGTTCTTGAGTTGTCGGATGACGCGGCCGACATGGCAAGTGTTGTTTACCTTTATCCCGGACTAAACCACTGTGTACCTGGATAGAGATGTCTTGTTTTGAATTTAATTAAAATAAACAAAAAATGCAGAGTGGGAGTGTTCATATCAATCCCCCCCCAACACCACAAACTCTACCGCCACGATCAACTTTAGTATGCATGACCGAGATCAAGCCATCAGCCCAGTCACCAGCACCGCCGCAGGAGTCTAACGGCTTCATTTCGGCCACCAAAAACGTTTACCAACTCATAGGGCCCGAACGACCAACGAACGACTGCAGTCGCGTGACTTCATTTCGGCACCAAAAAAAGCAACTGTTAGGGTCCGAACGACCAACCAACGACTGCAATCTAGGTTACGTTTCGATTTTCCGCCGCAAGTCGCGATCGGACCAAACACTATCACCACCACCACCGCCACCGCCACCGCCCACACTCACTTGTCGTAGTCGCGAACGGACCAAATGCTATCACCACCACCACCACCACCACCACCGCCGCCGCCGCCAACACCCACATTGTCGTGACGACTACAATCTACGTTACGTTTCGATTTCCTGCCGCAACTCGCGAACGGACCAACCAATCTCACCGTCACCACCACCGACACTCACTTGTCGTACGGCCAGTCGTCGTACTTCACGCGCACCACCCCGCGGGGCGACCCGGGGAACGGCCGCGGGTCAATCGCCACCACCCTGCCCTTGTACGTGATGCCGCTCTTGTTCTGGAAGGTCACCAGGCCCGCGAGCTTCAGCTGCGGGTTCTCCACCCCGCTGCCCACGGAAGCGGACGCGCCCACCTGCCAGTCGACGCGCAGCACGCGGGCGCACGACTCGCAGCGCGTGTCGCGGGCTCTGCTCTCCTTCCCGCAGCCCGGGATCCCCCAGTCCTCCACGGGATTGACCGGGCAAGTGAAGCCCCCGGTGCTCCCCCAGGACCCCAGGGACCCCCTCCAAGACGCGATGGCCACGGCGCCCCTAGCAGCAGCAGCAGCAGCAGCAGCAGGAGCAGCAGCAGCAGCGGGGATGACCGCGGTGGTGGACGTTGTCGGGGAATTGTCGTCGCTCGCAGTCGCCTGAACGGCGAGGACGCCTCCACGCGGGCTGGAAACCCTCGCCCCTCTCCCGCCCGCACCCGCTCCGCGACTGCGGCTGCGGCTGCTGCTGCTGCCGCGTTTCGCTGCTGCTGCTCTCGGTGATGTCACCCCGCCGGCGGCACGCAACGAGCGAGGCGCCGAGGTTGCGCCGCCGACGCTACGGCTGCGCCTAGGTCTCCGGCGACCTTCCTCCACGCTCAGAGATGCGCTCCACTGCAAGCGATCGCCATTGCTGCTGGTGCTGCCGCCGCCGCCGCCGTTGCTAGTGTTTCTCCATGACAGGGTGCCGCGTCTGCCGGGAGAAGCAGCAGCGGTCGGAGGTGGGTCGGCGAAAGCTTCCCCGCTACCGCTGGCGCTGCTGGCGCCGGCGCTGCCACCGCTGCCACTGCCACCGCTCGCGCTGCTACCGCTCGCGCTGCTACCGCTGCCGCTGCTGGCGTCGTCGGCTGTCGACGACGCGGTAGAAGAAGAACGGTAGCCGATCGTGCTCGAGCTCCCCCCGCCGCCGCCGCCCCCGCCCCTTACCCGACAAGAAATAGAGGCACTAGTCTCGTAGTCGAGGGACACACGGAGGGGCACCGAGGTGGATCGCTGGCTCTGCCGGAGGGCGGAGGAGGACGATGATGATACGGCGGAGCCCCCCGCCCCCGCCCCGCCCAGCGACTTGTTGGCCCTCGACATGCACCTCTGGAGGTGTTTGTTCAGGTCTTCGTTGCTATTGAAAAGCTTGGGCTTCTTGAGGTAGCAGTTGGACAGGAGGCAGCCCCTGGGGAAACCCTGCTGAAGGACCGTATCGCCACCGCCCGAGAGCTGCGGCAGATTTTTTACGGAGCGGGGCAGCGACGGAAGGATGGCGTGAGGAGGTGGCGGTAGAGTCAGCGAGCGACTGGGGGGGGGGGGTTACAAGTGAAAGAAAATTACAAGCGGACAAGGGACGGCATCAACGGCTTGCGGCTAATTACTGGTAGAAGCCAGCGGGCGATTATTGGGGGACATTCGAAGTGAACAAAAAAGCACAAGCGAAGAAGGGACGGCACTGAAGGCAATAATTACTCCTCACGGCCACCGCGCTCCACGGACTACAGTAGGCTGCTGCACCGGTGGGGCACCCCAGGCGGCAGCTGGCAGCGGCAAACACAAACGCACTCAACAGCTTGATGCAACCCAACTCGGATGCGACCGACGCCTTGTTCACTACCGTTGCAATCACCTTCAGTCCATCCGCGACTACCCCACCTAACAGACACCAGCGAGAACCTACAAAAATGTGGGCTTCGGCACCAAACCAAGCGGGGCACAACTCTACTGCACGTCGTTCAAATCATTCTTGACGGCTAGGAAACCCTTCGCCAGATGCGGCCTTAGGGGAATACACGGCGTGATTCGATCCCTGTTACTTGGTTCGAATCATGCTCCGGGCGCATTAGGGCCGAAAAACAACGACGTCGGGAGGGGGGGGGGGGAGGGGGGGGAGGGGGGGTTTGTGGG